CATAGTCAGCAGCTTTACCTGTTATGCACAGTGCAACCTCCATGTGTACATTTAGTACTATATCATATACTACACATAGATCTCTAGTATATCATGTATATGTAAATACTCTAGATCTGAGGTGGAGAATAGCTTAAATACATATATACATTTATCAGGATACTAATATACTAGGCTTTCAGACTCAGGAGAACAAGATATACTCATCAATGAGATGTGTTTTTTTTTATGTATATATATTGTTAGATCTGACAGGCCGAGTGGACAGAGAGAGAGAGAGACAGAGAGAAAGGTCTTCCTTTGCCGTTGGTTCACCCTCCAATGGCCGCCGCTGCAGCCAGCGCACCGCGCTGATCCTGGCAGGAGCCAGGAGCCAGGTGCTTTTCCTGGTCTCCCATGGGGTGCAGGGCCCAAGCACCTGGGCCATCCTCCACTGCACTCCCTGGCCACAGCAGAGAGCTGGCCTGGAAGAGGGGCAACCAGGACAGAATCCGGCGCCCCAACCGGGACTAGAACCCGGTGTGCCGGCGCCGCAAGGTGGAGGATTAGCCTATTGAGCCACGGCGCCGGCTCCAAAAGAATCTTGAGAAAGAATAACAAACACGGAAGAATTATATTCCCTGATTTCAAAACTCTATAGAATTGAGATAATCAAAACCAATATGATACAGGCATTACAAGAAAATAGAAAAGAGTCCAGAAATTAACTCTCACACAGTTCATGTCATTTCTGCCAAACCTATTCAATGGGAAAAGGAATCTTTACAACATATAGTGCAGAGAAATTGGATATTCACGTGCAAAAGGTTGATGGGTCTTTACCTAGCACCATATGCAAAAATCAACTCAAAATTGATCATATACCTACATGAGACCCAAAACCATAAAATTGAGAGAAAAACATAGGACAAGAGCTTTACAACAATGGATTTGTCAGCAATTTCTTAGACATGTTTCTAAAGAAATAGGTAACAAAAGAAAAAATAGACAAAGTGGACTTTATGAAAAATGTAAAAATTTGTACTTCAAAAGACCCAACAAACTGAATAAAAAAGAAACTCATACAATGGGAGAAAATATGTGCAAATGACATATCTGGTATGGGATT